AGACTTTCACTGGAAACCATCACTCCCAGCTGATAAACCGCAAATAAAGAAATAAAGGAGTGCAATTTGGCCAGAACGTCCTTTTTCCTTTGCTGTGTCCGCTGACTTTAACAAAGCCCAACATGCACAGTAACCTCCAACATAATGTTGTAATGAATGGTGTCAGTGCGCTCTTCACTTTTAGTGAGATTAAGGGCGTCTTAATGCTTTCCAGTTATCAGGGACATCTGTCTCACTTTCTCTGCCTCCAAACATCTGCCCCATTTTTTTCCAACATATAAATATATATTTTGCTGATCACAGATTTTCATATTCTGACAGAAAACTTTAAAAAGTTGAATTATTAAAGTTCAGAATACAAGAAGGTTTGTGTGTTTAGTGCTGATGCACAAGAGGCTTCCCAATGGATGAGGTACGGGAGCGTCGTGGCTTATCTTTTGTCAGTGGGAGGTTTTAAAAAAAGAACAACAACAGTAATTATGTTAATCTGCTGGCCTGTAAATGTTTGTGTCTAAAGACCGCAGAAGACAAAAGAGATCTGTATCTCTGAAACAAGCTCTCTGTTGTTTGCTCCGACTTTCGTTCGCTTTTTTTTACTGGAGCTTCTTGGACTGTGGATGGTCTGTGCCTTTGGATGACGAGGAGGTTTTGGGATCAGCTGAGAGAAGAGCCATGATGTCCTGCATAGCCTTACTTATCTGAACTCCAAACCTGTGAGAGTCCTGGGAAGGCAAAAAGAAAAAGTAAGTATTGAGAAGTGAAAGGGAAGTGTAGAAAGCAGACAAACGTGTTCCTGGGAACATAAATAAAACCACAGAGAAGGAAGAAAGAGAACATGGACAGAAGTGAGAAGTCAAACCCTCTTTAGAATGAAGAAGGGATATTTAGCAAGTTTCAAAATAAAAAGAACAAAATATTTATAGACACTGATCTCATACATTCATTTCAATTTCATTTCAAGGGTCCTTGGGTCCCAGCATTCATGGGGCCCCTTCTTAGAAACCATTAAACCCACGTATACAGTCTTCCCACCAAAACACACGTCAGAAGCTCGGGGAAAAGGACACCACGTGTGAGGATCTGAATGTCCCGAATTCCAGTCTGACTGCACAATGAGTGCATTCTGCAAAAGCAGCGGTTCATCTGAGGAACATTTTGGCCACTGAGTAACAAAGTCTGCCATGTCAAGGCCACATGATGAGAAACTGAATAGGCCTTAAACAGTGCACAGTCTCAACGCCATGAACTGGAGGGCATAACAGACCGCTTTAAAACAGGACCGAG